CATTGTAACCCACCCACCCACCAACACACACACACACATACAGTCACCATAACTACAACTGATTTCCCTCCATCACCCACACACAGATACAAATGAGTGGTCGTAGCACAGCACAGCTGCTGATAGAAACTTCCAGGTCCTCCTTGATTCACACTTGAACAACTTTCCCTTATGTGCTTATATAACGTCAACATTTTGGGAGAAAACAAAACCTAATATTTGTCCCAGTAGTTAATATTTCATACATGCCTGATGCACAAAACAGGTGGTGACCTGGTTGAAGTAAATGTCTCCTTCACAATTGTAAATGGCTGTTCTACTCTGACATTTAATGCTGAGTAGTTATAGTATTGAATATCCATTCAGTGATCTCTGAAGTACTTACTGTCCAGGTAAATTGATGGACTGAGGAGTATATGTCCATCCCATACATCCTACTGGTGATACATCAGAACACTCTCTTGTCTAAGATATCTACCATGATGAACTGTTTTCCTCCAAACAGTCTCTGCTAGAGCAGTTAGAGCATCCATCTCCTCAGAGATTCTGATGAATAATGGAGTAATAGGAGGAATTTCCTCAAGAATAAAATGTCTCTAACCCTGCACCTCTTCTGGCAAGCCCTCCAATTCTCCTGGTGCAATTGTAAGTGCAGCAGGCTTGCCAAAAAACCCAGGCGTCCACACAGATCTATGTTTATCCCATCCCCCTAGAAACCCTGCTATGGGGTCTCTAGGGCTCCCCCCCCCCCCCTCCAAGTATGTTTGCCAATGAAAGAAACACATGCTCCATATTATTTATAGAAAAAGTTGTTTGTTTATTATTCCATTTTTCCAGAAGGAGAATGTCAACTCAGGTCCGCTCAGAATTTGTACAATTTATGGGGCTGTATTTAATTCTTCATTTGGACTTGGGTAGGAGTGCAGCGTATTATAAGAGGAGGAGGGGTATTTGAAAAATGAGCTTTGTCATGTGAAGCTGACATTTTTATGATTGCGAGAAAGTGTTGAAAACCTCCTGAGCCAGTTATCATCATTATCCATTGCATCTTGTGAGGAGGCCTTGGACATGGTCAATGGGCTGACTCCCCAGTCGCGGGGGGAAAAGTGCACAGACCTCCAGTACTGAGCAGCTCACTTCCAGTAAAAAAAAAACACTGATAGTTTTTACAGTGCAAGTATCACACGACATGTTCAAGATGTATTACACTTGAATGCTCCTCCTGGTGTTTACTCATTTGAGCAGTCTGTAATCTTAACGGAAGTGATTATTGAGTATTGAGTTAATTATGTTGTTGCCCAAGGAGTATATAAATGAAACGTGTCTCTAACAGCACTATAAGCCTATCAACTCAACTTGACTGACAGTCTACATGCCCTGATTCAAACAAAGTCACTCTTGTTTGAACAGCAGATTCTCACCTTCAGATATATACAGTACACTAAGTATTTTTCCTTGATGCACTGCATTTTCTTCATTTGCTCCTGTTTAGAGAGATGCTGAGCTCACATGTTTTTCCAGGCTCGAGGGACAAGCGGGAGCTTTGACAGGTACTTAACAACAATCAAAAACAGTTATAAACAGGGTAAGCTATTGGGCAGGGCACAGGAAGGAGGCAAGGAAGGTACATACCCTTCAGACCCCTATCACACTTTCCAGAGAGGAACTCGCTTTTTCCCAACACACTGAAAAAAATCATAAATCTGTGAGTCCCACAGACCTGCGGCATGACCTAAGGTGTTTGCACAGTGCTTGGCACACATGTTTCACAAAATGAGTCGGTCTTTGAGCAGCTAATGCTTGCATTCTCATTAGTTACCCTCAAGTCTTACATTTTTGTTAAAACCTTTGTCAAATGTCATTGTTTTAAAATTCACTGCTGCTTCAGCTACACTTGTTCTGGTATGACCACACACAGAGAAATAGGGGCATCATTTCTGTTCCCTAAAGGTACAGTATATTTGTCAAAAGTACCCTGTAAGGTACAGTCATGGTCCTTAAGGTGTTAACAGTGGACTTTTGTCTATTTCTAAAGGTACGGAATCATTGCTGATAGCTTGATGTACAGGCAAAGGATGCAGAAAATCACTGTTTCCCCACCACAGACGCTTGCCTTTGTTGTGAGAGAACGAGGCTCAATTCCCACTGTGACACATCCACCAATGTGTTCCTGAGAGGTACAGACAAGGTTCAGAGGTACAGTCCTCCTACCCTGCTAGGGTACAGCTTGAGCGATAAAGCATTTGTACCCTTTTAGGACCATTCCTGTACCTTGTTTTCTCTGTGTGCAGTAGCTTATGGCGGGGTGGCTAATATGAGCAAATGTTAGATAATTGACTAAGGTGTAACTGACATTACTGAGTCACTGGTAACTTCTGGCTAGCTTCTTTTCTGGTGCTACTTGCGAAAACCATCATGGCCTTTAAATGTATCACTTACTGTGAGCAATGGGGTCCTGCATAAACACAGCAGGTTGTTTCACATGAGAGATTCCTGTAATTTATGTTTTTACTTTTTGCTCGTGTCACATGTTTGAAGTGGAAGGGGCGCAGTCAGAAATGGTGGGCAATGTATTTGTGCACCAGTCAGACTTTTGCAACATTTAGGAAGATTGGAAAGTGCTGTACTATTTCTTGGCCAGAGTCTTCCTGGAGAGTTGTCATCACCGTGAGATTGCCAGGCTAGCTGTTTCCTCCTGTTTGCAGTCTTTGTGCGAAGCTAACTGCCTGCCGTTGGTTCGTTCATATTTACCGGACAGACATGAGAGTGGTATAGATCTTCTCATCTAATTCTTGGCAAGAACTATTCTTTTAAAGGCCAGTTCAGTTGTATTTTTTGTCACTATCTTCTTTACTACTGGCTCTGCATCTTTGGCTATACATTTAATGCCGTGAAGTCTGCGTCCACTTATATGATCCAACACAACTAGACCAAAATCAACACTCCTTAGCAAATCCTCCACAACTCAGCACACATAAATCCTGTGCAGTGGGGTGATGCTGGAATAACAAATCATCTGCCACTTTCAGCAGTTCAAGAATGATCTCGCTATCCACTATTTCTGCTTGACATCCATATGCATGTCCGAGCAGACCAGCAGGATGAGAGCGGGGATGGACAGTAGTCAGGAGGAGGTGGGGGGTGAAACTTGCTTGATTTTTTCAGTATGCGCTTTAGTTGCACCCACTTCCTTCATGGTGACAGCTGTAAAAACATTGTCGGATTACAGCGCAGCACAGAGTTACAGCTCATATTAGAGCCTGGTACAGGGCAGGAAGTTAGGAGGAGTCCAGCAAGCGAGGTACATTAAAGTCTCCCAGATTCTCAGAGCAAAGCAGCTAGGACCCAGGGGAGGAATAGCTAACACCAAGAGGGTGCTGCTCCTGCACTGCTAGTTTAGCTACACGTGTCAGGGATATCATGGGCTTTTCCACTGATGTTTTAGGTATTAGAAAAGATACACTCTATAATTGTGTATTGTTTTCATAACTGGACGTGAAGTTCCTATTCACAGACTCGGATCACAATGCACCTTTTCTCTTGGATTAGTAAAGCTTCAGCGCTTTCATGATGAGGCCACAAGATATTTGCGAGATTGTTGAGAGAGAAAACTCCCTGAAATCTCCACTCATCTGCTGAGGGAATAGAGCTTGTTGAAATAACATCAGTTCAACAGGGTAATTCTCCTGCACATACGTATGTTCGAACACTGTAAATCCAAAACAGAAATGTTTATATCTTGCACTAATGAGTTTCATAGTAACTTTGTTTGACAGTGAAGTAAAAACATCATTGCCATTGTACTGCGCGTTATAATATGACAGAGGTCTTGATAATCAGTTTACACTAAATCAGTATAAAATGTCATAGCAAAGTGAGGGTGATCCTGCATGAAACTGTGAAAATCCAACAACCGCTGTATCGGATTCCCATAAACACTTAACCTCAACAATGACGTCTGATTACATAGAACGAAGGCTTTCTTGCTCTAGTCACTATATTTCTGTCAAAAGGTGGACCTCAGATATTTTCCCAGCCAGTCCAGGGATTTGAACAGGTGACTTGTCTGGTCACTTCTCATCCAATTTGCTGCTGTAGCAAAGGTTAGAATCCCTAAGTCACTGTGTTTTTTGAGTTTTTTTGAGTTGGAGGCAGAAATGTATGAATGATAACCAGTCAACAATGGTTTATATTCCGTGCAATCCATTTCAAGTGACAAAACAATCTCTACTTTTTATTACTTTTTTTTAATTACCTTTAAGTCAACGTGAATGACAGGTCCCAGAGTTTCTCAGAATCATGGAAATAGTATGTATGTTTCCATCGCATCCAAACTAAATCTGCTACTGAGGACCGTACGTCACAATCTAAAGCTACAAAACAATTCAGTAAGTGGAACTTGAGTTGGGATAGTTTTGTCAACAGATGTTTCCATTGTCAAGAATGAAATGTCAAGAAGAAGTTTGATGTGCTACCACTGGCACAAAAATCCACTGCATAAAATGTATGCTACTTTTGCTAAAGGCAAAGGCAATGTATTTGTTAAAGCCTGAGAGTTGTTGCCAGTCCTGTTCATTGTTAGAAAGAAATGCGCATGATTTGAAAACATTCATTAGTAGGGCTGCAACAGGAGAATAATTGATAATTTAGTCAAACTGTCAGAAAGTTATGAAGAATTCTCATGACATTTCCAGGAGCCAAATGAAATTTGGATTTGGATTTTTTAATCTCATTAACAGTTCATAGCCTATTGAATCAGATTTTTAAAGACATAAAACTGACTAAGTATTAAATTTCAGAAGTGGGATGCAGTTTGATAAATTATTTAAACAATTATTCAATTCTGTATTCAGCATCACCTGTCACTGTGCCATTCCAAGCCATTTTTTAAAATCACAAATAAATATCATTATTTCAGGAAATTAACATCCTGTAAAATGATTTCCGAGCAATCGACTGAATACACCAAATGTCACTTAATAATGAAACTGCACGTGAAATAATTTAAAAATTCATTTATTGTTTCAGATTTTTTCGCCTTTGTTATACAAAGATGTTAAATAACTTAAATACATTCTTACCAGTCATTTGTGATCTGTTTATACCTACAAGCTATACACATGAGGTAGAGGAAAATAATTTAGAGTTCCCATAAGACATGAATAAGTGAACATGGACAAAGCTTTGTTGGTGTAGTATCATCACAAAGGGCAATACATGGTTGTTGTGTTTTATCTTTCTTTTACAAGCACAGCACAAATCCTAACAAAAAGTACATGTACATGTAAAGTGATCCAAAGGTGCGTACAAACAAGTCCACACTGATGCATTCATGAGTTTATACTGCATCATATAACCAACATTACAAAGTCTTTTCACAAAAAAAGTCGATTATACAAACAGATCAAATCCTATAAAAATATTGTTGATGACTGTGATTTTGTCTGAATACTCTCAAAAATGTGTCATGATCGTGTGCATGAATAAAAGACAGCTAAACGTGAGTTGATTCTAAATTTGTTAGGATTTGTTAGTGCTTAGATAACAGCAATTGATGAGATATGAAATGAAATATGTTTAAAGTATACACTGCTTTTCAAAGCCTCCACCCCAAAAAGGAACAAACACCCATAAGAAAAACAGAGTAAAAAATACAGGATATAAAATCAATTTAGACTTTGACGTTATTTACACTAAACACATGCTCTTAATATATTTTAAAAATAATTTATCTTTAATTTTTTTCTACAAAACAGAATTCTGTACATGATCCACTGACGACTAAACAGTGCAGAGCTTTTTATTTGAGAATGTGGACGACTGTGACGTCTAAAAACCGACCAACTGCTGCATCATGCGCCTCTTCCTCCGGAGAAAATTTTAGGCCTATGTACAATCTATAAACAAACAAAAATGCACTCTGTATGCATTCGGTATTCCTGTCATGCCTGTTGTGTATCCTTTCAATAGTGGAGAACCTCAGTGTATTTGGGCCGAGGTGTGTTTGTGTGTGGAGAACGCACACACCGAAAGCTGTGGTTGTGCTTCGAGTCTCAGCATAGCTATTATGGTTTCCATGTAGCGTGCAAAGTTCTATCTATATGTTTTGACCAGTCTTTATTTGGTATGCCTTCTCATATCAAAATGCTTGGAATTCATCTCCTTAGGACAAATAAACCATGCAAGGCTCTCTTCCTAAAGCATGAGATCGCTAATGAGAACCGTGGTTTAATTTTGAATTTTGTGGTAATCATCGTTAAAGACTAAACTATCTGTAAATGTAAAAGCCATTTTTAATGGATGTTTGGCATGGTGTTGTATTGCTGATTACAATCGATCCCTCATCCTAACATTTGTTATTGCGACCAATTTCTGTTTCAGTTGCTTGTGAGAGTTGAACATGTGCCTCACTTTTGTCTATATACCACAGAAGAAGAAACCTTTGCTATTTACAGTTTTTTTTTAATTCGGCACTGCACTGTATCCATAAATACAGATCTTAAAATACTTTAAAGGGCTTCTGGGCTTCAGTGCGTGAATGGCGCTATAATACAAAGCTGGGTCCCTCACTCAGTAGTTAATTCACACCCATCTAAAACAAGGCATATATCTTATAGTATATAGCAATGTTCTCAGAAGCTAAATGCTGAGAATACAATGAAATATTATTGTCTGCATTATTTGTTTGTAAAGAGGGATTTCTTATAATATTAAACTTTGACAGCTAGCCTGCCTCCATCCAAAGGTAACAGAATCCACATAGCAGCACCTCCAAAGTTCACTGATCTATATGTTATATCTTGTTTCTTTAATCCGTACAAAAGCTGAAGTGTAAAGCAAGGCAAGACAACATGAGATATAATATGCAAATTGGTGAGCTTTAGACGTGATGATCGGCTGATTTTGCTGCCCTCAGATAGAGCCAGGCTAGCTGTTTTCCCCGTTTCCAGTCTTTGTGCTAAACTAAGCTAACTGGCTGCTAGCTGTAGCCTTTTATTTCCTGGACAGACATGAGAATGGTATATTCCTTTAAACTGTCACTGTAGTTGCATGGCAGGGTTCAGTATGTTGCATTGTGTTAATTGTCTCAAGCAACAATTTGAAAAAGCTAATTAACTTGTGTATTATAACAACTTCACTGACTTCTGAATGAAGACAGCAGGTATGTAAAACCCCAATGTTTGCATTTAGACGTCAATTTGCACAGAATTACACAAATTTTACTCATATAAAATATATTTATATTAGCTACGAGACTTACGCATTCATCTTCACTCGAGCAACTCTGCAGACACGTCAAGTTAGATTACCTTCTTAGTTGCCCAATACCGTTTGGACTGACTGACGCAGCGCCCACTGTATGTGCTGCATGTCTACATGTGTTGAATATGGCTCAATCAAATCGTGGCAGCTAAAGAGGAAAGAAGGATGTGAAATGGCAGGGGGCTACATTCCTCCAGTTCTCCACAGTTTTCTTTACAACTTCAAAGTATTCAAAGTTAAACAAAAACAAAAAAGCCCTCTAATAAGTAGATTTGAGCTCTGCAGAGCTCCACAATTTCAGATCTGAGTCACACGTGGACCATTTGCTGGTCAAGTGATCACCTGTTGCAATGATGTTGGTTATAATAAAAAGATCACTGTACCTCCAACTTGGACAACTTCACTCCTATTTTATCCAAATAGTTATAGTGGTTTAAGTTATTCCCTGAACACTGGTTCGCTCAAGGCCGAGAATAGCCTAAACTGACTGGTTTAGTTATTTTCTGTTAATGCATTTACTAACAGCTTCATATTATATTATTTAAAAAAGAAAAGAAAAAATGAGATCTTTTTTTCCTCCCTGTGAAGGAGTAGTCCCAAAGGATCTATAAATTATCCACAGCAAGACGACGGACACAAGTGTGCTGCTTTCCAAAGGGCCTTGTCGACATGAATCAAGAAGAAAAAGAAGTGAAAGCACACAAACAGCAAAACATTTGTGTGGTTAGTGGTTTGTTTTAACATAGTTAGATAAGTGGCTTGTATAATATCATTACAATATAACTGAATTTATTTACATACATATACAAACACACATGTGTGTGAGTGTAAATATGTGCGTGTAGAGTAAATCTTACACCCTGTCTTTTTTTTTTTTTCTTTTTAGCAGTCTCTGAATATGGTTTTCATTGCCATAAAAGTCGTCATTCGAACTCCCTGCCCCCTCACTATCTATCACATTTCACATATAAACACACACGTAAAGATTGACAAACGCACACACATACACACCATTCTTCTTTGGGCAAGGCCCCAGAAACCAGTCTGTTACTGTCCTTGTGTCGGATCCTCATTAACTGGATGCTAATCTCTGTTTTTTTGTGAAAAGATGCAATGGGATTTTTTTTATAGGAAAATAAAAGCTTCTCTGTTCAAGGCAAAACCATGATAAAAAAGCTTGAGATGTTGACCCAGTTGTCTGAGAAGGTCTTTTTTTCATCTTTCATCCCCCAGACACAGGAGGGCCACAGGAGCTCTGAAAACCAAACCACAGAAATCCCTCAAAGTGCTTATTGCTTCTCCATCGGCATGCTCCTCTTTTGTTTGCAGAACACTGTTCCGAAAGTGGAGGCAAAACCTTGTTTGAGAACACAACCACTCCTCTTCAACACAACCATCTTTCACTTGCTCCACTGATCATAGGGGCTTACAGGTGGCTGGTTTACCCTTTGCAGGTATACACCTCTTCTCTCTGTGTGCACTGCTTGCATTCGACGTAGCAGCACCAGCGCACCTGGCACTGGCAGGGCCGGGTCACCTCCCTACTTTGAGTGTTATGGCCTCGCCCACAGCAGATAGCGTCACAGTTCTTGTCCTTGTAGCACTTGCGGGCTGCCGTGCCTGACGAGTACTTGCTGGGTCTACAGAAACTGGGCGAGTCCTCGATGTGGAGCAAGTCCATAGTGCGAGGTATCTGATCGTTCAGGCCGGGCAGGGGCTGCTGCTGCTGACTCCGGCCTGTGGAGATCTCTCCCTCCCCCGTGGCCTCATTGGTGGAGCTGCCAACCTTGATAGAGGTCTCGTAGCGTTGCTTCAGCTGCTTGCCGATCTCATGGAAGGGCTGGAGCTGCCTCCAGCAGGTCTGGACGGTGCAGGAGCCAGAGACACCATGGCATTTGCATGTGGTCTCCACTCCGGCCTTGATTACCTGGTTCCAAGATAATGAAATACTGTTAAATGCCACGAAACATTAAAGGAATATAATGAAAGCTTTGTAATTTAATGCATCTTTGTTTAGTAAGTAGTATTTCAAAGAGCCAAATTACCCAAATATGCTCACAATTAGACTGGAGTAAAGTGGTTTGAGAGGAATGTAAAGTCACAATTGAAAATTATTACATCCACTGCTCTTTAATATCGTAATAAAAACAGAGGTTTCATTTATTGTATGTGAACTCTGAGCAACATGATTCTGAAGGAGAACAATATAACACTTTGTCTAAGCCTTCATATAAAAGAAAAAGACTATTAGTTGGTGGGAGGATGGATTTGTTATGATAACCATGGATGACATTTTGATTAAACTCAATAACTGTTATTATGATAAGTGAGGGTAGTTAAGAGAAGTACTCTCAAATAGACAATCCATTCAGACAGCCACGGGAAAGAGGAGACTTTAATATGTAGACGCTGGGCACTATTCTTGTCGTCATTTCTGTTATAACTGTGTTTTCTAAGATCAACACAATCATTATTGTGGTAATTATGTCATGACACAAATAATATGCCATGCAAACAGTTGGAAAGAGAAAGAATAGTAAAGACAGTCTTATTATGTAGTCCTTATATAAAATCATCTGCAAAAGTGGCCACAACACGTTATTTTAACGTTACTTGACCTCTTCGCAGCCAGCCAAAGTTCATTTCAGCATTAACCACAATGTCAAAAGCAGTGTGTGTGTGTGTGTGTGTGCGAAAATCAATGACAAAAACACATTGTCTTAGACAGGGTTTGGATAGCATCTACAGTTCTTTTCTCAGACTGTGAAAGAGATCGGGGAACAGGAAGTGCATATTCATCACACCAGCAGGTCAAGAAAATTTGATAGGTCAGCTTTTAAAATGTCGGGGGGGGGGGGAGTGGATGCAGAGGCTAGCACATTCCAATTTGTCCGTGTGGGAATTCATCCTGAACGAATGCGGTGTACCTCACTACATGTGCAAATCACAAAAAAGAGCAAAAACAATGTTGTAAATCTTTTATCACAAATAAAATCTCCTAAGAGATTAGATTTTGGAGAGCCAAGCTGAAAAGGAAGAGCCTTCATTGGTCTTTTGGGAGGGTTTTTTGTCTGCTAACAATTGGGAAGTGTGCCTCTGCTATAATTCATTTTGAAACCAAAATGAAAATGGCTACAATATGAAAAAAAAAGCTGAGTAAAAGCAACAGATTCCAGACCTTCAGTTTGCTTTGGCTTGATAGATTAAGACTATTCCCTCTTTTTATTTTACTATTAAAAACACTTCCCAGATGAAAAAAGAACATTTTTGTTCACCACAAACAATTTCTGAATTTTGCCAGAGCACAAATGAGAGTTGGTGCCTATCTAATCTGGGAGAGAAAACCAAATATTGACATTTGAGCACTATCAGCTTTCACCAAATTTACAGTGGCAATTACTTTATCTTAGAGATGCTTGAAACTCTACACTTTTATTTCAGTAATTTCACTCTCCCATGTATAACTCATTACTCATATCGTCATTCTCTTGTGGTCATATTTAATTCCTCTTTGGTCATTTTAACCATATATTTGTACAGTGTGTTTTGTCTTGAACGGCATTCATTTACCAGCACTGTGATGTTTAAACTCCAGCATTACAAAAACAATACCAAAGATATGGTGGTAGAGTATATCCGGGATAAGGCGCACAATGAATTGACACTTCATGTTGCTGTTTACCTACATAATTGCAGCTGAGACTGTATTATATTATCACAGTTTTCCCACCGTTTAACTGATTCATGATAGCAATTAGCCACTATTTATGTTTAAATACTGTCTGTGGCTCAAAATGAACTCTGACCCAACTCAAGCCGTTTTCCTGATGAGTGTGTCTTGGTTGGCCTCATATGTGCGTTATATCTCAAAATGTTTTTTGCTTTCAACAAATTATTACTTTAATAAAAAACAAATGAAACTGACAGTTGGGTAAAGACACAGCTATGAAATTAGTGTGAAATTAACTTTTTCCTGTCGTTTGAATATAACTCCCTAAATGTTTCTAACATCCCTGAGTCAAAGTTACAAATTATTAGCTAATAAAATACTTTTAAACTGTCAAAGTCACCGATAAGCTATGATAATCAATGGAGGAGTGAATGGAAAATGAAAGGTGACCTTAAGGTGCACTCCAGCAATTAAGTATTGCACTTCCATGAAGTGTTGTGACTCACAAGAGACAGATTAAAGCCAAAATGGTCAAAATTGATGCAGCAGAGGCCGAATTATTCAGACTTTTTGTCCCTAGTACGGGTCAAGCTCCAAGAACACTGAATCATACACTTTCCATAATGCAACTGGATAGCATCCTGTACTTTCTGCCTGGTAAACCTTCCACACTGTTCAAACTCCAAAACCCAGTTTGTAACGAAGGCTTTCTGTTAAAATGTTCTAATCTCCAAACTGAGATCAGCTTATAAAGTACAGCAACAATGTTAGCAAAGATTCTGTATGCTTATTTATACATTCAGCAGACTTGGAACAACATTAGCATTCATTTGGAGTCATGTTTCTCATCATTTGCTCTGTTTTGGTCTCCAACAACTACTGGAGGTAAATATATGGCTCTTTAGATGCTAAATGCCTCACTATGTTCACCAGCTAGTGGCTAACTTTGTCTCTCTGCCATTTGGCGCTGAGCTGGTAACAAGGGGTTTTAGTGTTTCATTGAACAGCTGCCTGTTGTGGCTGGAAATGAAACTGATGATAGCAGAGACAATGAACAAAAACAGCCAAGTTCTGGCTGGGCAAAACAAAACAATGAGTTAAAAGTGTCACAGTTGGTGCTGTGACACTTGGGGGTTGTGTTCCTTTTTTCCCCCCTGTGGTGTTCTGTGGGCGTGTGTGGGTATGTCTTACACTTGGCAGGGAGCTGATCACCTGGTGGAGTTACACACCTGCTGGCAATCCTTATCAGTGCCTCGATGTGGGGCTTCTTCAGACTCATTGCCAGATTATTCCAAACCTTCTCATGGTTGAGTACTTCAGGCCAGCTTTGTCTCTTGAGTATTTAGTTTGCTTCGAGTGAGTTCTCTGTCTGGACCAGGACTAATGTTTTTTTGTTTCTCCTTTTCTCAAGATACCTGCACCCGGTGTGTTTTTGTGTTGCCCGGAGGATCTTTTGAAACGCTGGCTGCCACTTCCCAGGACTGCCTGCCCCTACTCACACCTCGCCCTTTTCCACACAGTTCTACTAGTCACTCAGTTCTTTGTGAATAAATCTCTTGACTTTAACCCGCCTCGAGTGTTCTGGGTCCACACCCTAGTCCACAGTCCTATACATAACAAAAAGATTCTAAAATGCTCGGTAGAGCTGAGGGGGAACTGCAGTGTTTTAACTGATAATTTTAAATCTGTGGTTTTGTAATTACAAAACCATAGTCATCTTCTGACTGATACTCAACACTTACCTTCATGCCCACATTTGTGTTGTGCATGTCCACGCGTGCGCGCAGGTCTTTGTTGGAGCGTTTGCCCAGGAAGTCCTTGACAAACTTGTTGGCGTATTTGAGGTTATCACCGCAACCTCCCCACTGCCACGCCTTGCGGTTCTCCAGGTCCGGGGCTTCGTCACACGTGCAGCGCTCCATGCGTCCTGCGCTGCAAGCTTTGGCCATGGCATGGGTCAGGCCCGCCGAGGAGATGGCATACAAGAAGGCTGTCTCTTTAAATCCTGGAAGAGCAAATTGGAGAGTGACAAATGAGAGGCAGAGAAGTATTCAAAAAAAATTGTCCTGGACGAATGCGGTGTACCTCACTACATGTGCAAATCACAAAAAAGAGCAAAAACAATGTTGTAAATCTTTTATCACAAATAAAATCTCCTAAGAGATTAGATTTTGGAGAACAAAGCTGAAAAGGAAGAGCCTTCATTGGTCTTTTGGGAGGGTTTTTTGTCTGCTAACAATTGGGAAGTGTGCCTCTGCTATAATTCGTATTCCAAAAAAAAAAAAAAAAAAGGAAAACCCATACCTCTCTTTAGTATGTTGGCTCGGTGGCGCCCCTCTAAGGTGCAGTTCCACCTCTCAAAGCGGAATTGATACTGGCATTCTAGGGCGCTCATGGTGATGGCCTCTCTAAGGGTCTCCGCCACGCCCGGGTCTCGTCTACACATCCTGCGCTGCTTCTTTTCCAGTTTGAGCCGGTCGCACAGCTTGTAGTGGGCCCTGCCCACGTTCTCCTCTGGTAGAGAGTTCAGTGGCAGGATAGACAACGGTTCATTACCTGTCAACCTAGAGGGAAAGATCACAGACACACTCGGGTCAGTTAAAACTGCGCACAGAGAGGGAGTGGATACATCTTGATAAAGGTTCCAATAAAGTGCAAGATGCTGACTTTCCTGGATAAACAATGAGACCTACCAAGATATACTTCATAAACAGCACTGGAAGCACAGCTGGGGTATATAATGCTCAAAAGTTTGGTTAATGTTCAAATGAATTCAGCTGTTCAGTGGTTAATGTTCTGGGGAATTCAACATTTGCTGGAGATTGAGATCAACCTCCAGCACAGGCGTGCCTGTGTATAGAGCAAATTCTCTGCAGAGGTGGAAAAGTTCTTTCTTTTCATAAGAAGTTCCCGACACTGTTCTGTCCCTGTTTTAGACCTCACACACTAATCAAGTCACAGCACCAGCAGCTTATAAACCTACACGGTTAAGAATTTCAAATTGAGATTATAATTTATATAAGTAATAAAGCATTCAGCTGGTATGGGGACATATTTTAAACATGGCATGCAGTGAATGTGACAGTCATACCATATGCATGTGAAACAGTAGCCAGTGGATACTTGGTTTAATTAATTTTTTTATTTTTTTATTTTTTTGGGGGGGTGGGGGGGTAGTGTTGTAGAAATTTAAACATGATCACACAGCAGGATTTACTCTGTCATTATATAGAATCCCCATAACAAAAGTCTAGTAGTATACAAGCACCAGTATCAGTTCTAAACATGGTATGGAGAACATGTGGTAGACTTGCACTCCTTTCGTCAGTTTATTTAAGGGAAGCGTATATAAAAACACACAAAGCAGGGACTGCCACATAGCTGGCAAAACCAACGACCAGCGTTCTGAGGTTGTGATGGGGAAAGCAGAGCATTACTTTCATAAACACACACAGGGGACATGACTGTCAGCCTGTGACCATTTTGGTCACACCAACTGACAGGATTGGCACTGTAGCTGTTCATTATGTGGAATTTCTGGCCTTCTTTACACCCTTAAAGTGAAACTGAAGAATAAATGGATTTACAGAACTCACAAAAGCACACGTCTTCGGGCCAATGTGCCTTTGCAGATGGACTTGGATACTATCTTTCATTTAAAGTCTCTTTTGTGCATAGATTGACACCTTGCTTAATGCTGCATTGATAAAATAATTCAAAAACAAAGATAAAGCACACCATTTTGCAAGTGAATGTCTTGACAGATGAAACAGGGATTTCAGAATTATTATGTGATTAGTTTACCTTAAAAGGAGGTACTTGAAATCAATATCACCAATAATTATTAAATTTATTTTTGGCATTGACATATAGTGTCACAGCATATTTTATGGACATTTGTTACATTGAACTTAAAGATAACCGTAAATTGTGATTTAACAACATTTAAAATTTTACAACCAATCTGCCTTTTAACATCTATTTAGACAATTTATGTACTAATATATCACAACATTATTACAACATCAATCATGAACTGTCCATCACTTCTTGTGTGCAAACGTGTACATACAGCCAAATAAAGTAAAAGAGCTATAAGACTGTGAAGAGTAACCACAAATGGGAAACCTGCCACACAGTTGGATTTTGCCAAGCAGTGTGTAATAGAAATTGTTCCAAAATATTTTTCAAAGGTGCAAAGCACCTGCTGGATGTCTACACCGGTTTAGTTAATGTACCAGAGGTGTTGATCAGTTATGTCCATTACTTACATTTCCAACTTTTTAACTGAAGATTCTGTCACCACTCATATTCATTTCAGCCTCTAGCAGAAGGTCACAGTAGTTGTTCAACAAGAGTTTTATTTTATTAAGTCCAATAACCGACTGAAATGTTTCCCCTCGAGTCCTCAGTTTCAAACCAATGGACTTAATAGTTCACATATGATATATGATATTGTCTTTACAGTGCATTCACAGCCTGTCAATTCAAAAAAGAGGCATCAGGATTTGTTTTCAGATTGGGTCAAATGGTTTCCTTTTTTTACAAAGCATGTTTGCCTTTCCTTAACTTGTCCGACAGCTATGAATTTTCATATGGAAACCTGGCAAGCTGTGTCTTGAAAGAGATTGTTCTCCCAACACACTTAGAGTAAAAAAATGTATGGTTTGAGGCGTAGAGAGCAAGGCATACGCAATGCACGAGGACCGTGTTTCTCTGTGAATAACTGACATTTTCCTCTTATTTGTTTCATGCTTTGTTAGAATACCCTGTTCTAATAATGCCAAGGAAACATATTCAAAGTGCCAAAACAAACAATTCCAGCAGACCCAGTATGTTACATGTGACTGACAACCGTTCCACAACATTTCTATGGCAAGCAAGCAGTCAGGGATTGAATGATGGCGCCACATGAAGTACCTGCCTAAGTCCATTTGGAACACCAGCTGGGAATTAAAAATCATGTATTTATATATTTAAAATTCTCACTCCACCAGGAAGCAGTCTGCTATTGCATATTGATTGAAATTTTACTATGTATAGCTTAGCAACAAACGGTGGTCTTAATTTACTCAATACCACCAACATGACGTGCACATTCCTCAGTAAGACATGCATAGTAACACGTATCAGCTTTAAATCACAGCCTACATGCCTGCCAAAACAAGAGACCATTAGAGTGACAGGCCTCAACTGTCTGTGAGACATCTGTCTGTCTGACACAAAAAGATGGTCTGAGCAGAGCTGGAAGGAGGCCAAAGATGACATGACACTGATCTCATCGCTACCGTCTCTGCGGCTTTTTTACACAAAGGCATATTTCTAGCTAGTGACAATGACGGCCCGGGGGCAAAGCGTGGAGGGGAGAGATTTGAGAGCGGAGAATCTCTGCGTCTCCAGAGAAGGAACTACTCGCCGGGACTCGCTCGTGCGCATGTTTCCGCTCTGTGGCAGACCAGAAAATAGTCAAATAGTATCACAGATGTGCACTAATTCCATTTCTGTGTGAAAAATACCTATCTATTTCTTTTCTCTTTTATTTATTTATTTTTGTTTTTACACACATGATCAAAAGCAGAGTTGATCAGCAGAGTTAAAAGCAGAGTCAATAAATCTTCTTTATTAATTCAAGTTTGCTGGAAATTTAAGTCAGTATTTTCTCTGGATGCAGGACTGTGACCCCTGCTGTCACACAAAAGGGTCACACATTCCAATATGGTGATCTGCAACAACAACAAAAAAATATTCTGTTGTTTGCTGTTTGCTCATTCAACTCACTTCGAGGAAAGGAGAACTGGAAAACAGTGCAATGGTTGAATCACAAGAATCATTAAAAATCTGAAATCTTCAGTCAAACTGAAATCATTATTGTGTTTTCAGAAAACGATGACCACTTTTGAGGGATAATGGAAAAATACGCCCACATCTCTGACAAGTCAACGACGCTCAGTAATTCTATAATAATGGACCCTTTGTAAAGGGTTTATACGTTGTAACTAATGGCTTTATTAATGTTAATAAGCAATTTATTAAAGCTTTACAGATCAGTTATAAGCCATTAATGACAACAACTTTTTCAAATCACTTGACTGAACTGTATGACCACTATCCTTTCACAAAAAGGCTGCATTTGATCTGGACCATCCTTTTTGGGCATTAATAAATGGATTGCCAACATTTTAGGGCAGCATCAAATGATAATTCTTTCATCCATCCATCGATCTGCAGATTATCATTGTTTGTTTATTTTATGAAACAAACAAACAAATTTTTTTTTGTTTTGTTTCATAAAAAAAAATTGACATAGCTCAAGGTGATGCCTGGAATTAGCTTGTTTTTTTCCAAAGAACCCAAACATAGTCGATTTATTAACGTATAAAAACAAAGGAAAATAGCAAATTTTCCTATTTTAAAAATGTAAAAGCAGTTTTTTGTGAATTATTGATTGAAAATGGTTTAAACAATTAATGTTTTTTTAAATGTTGCCCATTCATTTTCTGACAAATGACTATTCGATTAATCGTCTAATCTTTTTATAACATTTATACCATCATTAGTACCAAATTTAAAGATCAGCACTAATTAATTATTTATTAACTATTAATAAAGCAATTAGTTACAACTTATAAGCCTTTATTAAGGGGGCCTTATTAGAAGGCAGTACCAAGTGTATGCAGTTGCTTATCTTAAAGATAAATATTAGTTGAATAGTAAGTGAAGCTCACTTACACAGTATGTCCACCACACTGAATTAGAAAGTATGAACATGCAACTCTGTGCTTTCACATCATGGACCATTTTCTGTAGGTGTTTTTATTTGAGGTGTTGGCACAGCAACACCAATTACGCGTGGAATATAACACCAACATATAAAACTCATTATTATCCTACGTGAGGTGGGATTCTTGCTGATGTTTGCTCAGCTTTGCTTTTTCCATTCACACACTTGCCTCCACACACTACACTCGCAGACATCACTGACCCACTCTCACGCCGCGCCTCCTCCACTGTCTTTCACTTAGTACCACTGGAGTTTGTTTAGTCCTTTCTCTCTACCTGTCGTCACCTCCCATTGACCGTGACATTTACTTTATATACATTTTCCAATGCACCAGGTTCAGTGAAAACGGTTCATTTCACACCGCGGAGCCGATCCCTCAAGGAAATCATTGACTAGCACTAAACTTCACCATCATCACTCCCTGTCTGGCTATACATTACAGCCCTGGAAGTGACCCTCAGCTGATAATTCAGCTCGTTCTTCATTGGTTTGGTATGGAAACAGTTAAGGAAGTGTAATAATACATAAACTCTTAGACCGTGGAAAACATTATCTCTCTTACTTTAACTTTCTGGACCTGCTCTGTGTATAGGGTACAGATACACATAGCATAGTAACTGCTGGTGTTCATATACTCACACAACCATATCTAAACAAAGGCAGCACAGTCCATGTGGTAAAGATTAATCTCAGGAGACTAAAGCCTTATGTTGTTCCTCAAATATAAGTCACTTTGGATAAAAGCATCTGCCAAATGAGTAAATGTAATGTGATGTAATGTAA